TATTCTTCTATTTACATTGTTTTTTTTGCAGAGCTCTTTGGGCTGTGGCCAATGGTGATTATGTTGAAGCATGATCTGCCCAAGCAGTTGTTGTCCAATATCTTTTTTGAAAACCTAAAATACAAAAAATTCTTGTTAGATGGTTTTGGAAGTTTTGGAGGGAACAGTTCTTTATTAGCTGTGAAACACAATCTTTGTTCCCTCACAATTTTTCCAATTGCAGTAGTCCAAAAATAATTTGTTTTAATAATTGGCGGCAATGTCAATTTTTTAATATTCTAAGAATTCATTTGTTTATGTGCAAGTTTGTATTATTTTGTAATGACTTAATGATTTATGCAAAACTGGCCTAGTGTTAGTTTATGATGATTCTTTGATCGGCAGTTGGGTTACTGATCCCTTAGCAATGGTACTATAAAAACAAATCAAAGAAACATATTGCATTGTTAACCCAGTACAAGAAAAGTAGTGCAAAAAGAACCCTAAGTCATAACAACATCCAATATGTTTTTGGTTGAAAAAACTCAGTGTATGCCTACTGAAACTTTTGTTTTCTACATGTCAACTGTTTGCATATTATCCAATCATCTTTTGCCTTAACAAATAGTAAGTCTTTGACCTGTGCTTTTCAGAGTCAAAAAGATTAAAACTGACCAGTATGTTTATTAACAAGTAATCCTACAAATTAATTAACTATTAGAAATGATTCAGATAAAATTTAATGCCTAACCAGCTACCAGATAGAAATCCTGAACATCCTTGTTATTAACTGAAAGTGGAGATGTGACACAGCTAAGTCTTTTTCTATTTAAGAAAATGTTCTATACACTGTAATATCATCAGATGATTACAATGCAGTGAAGTAGAAAGGAAAAGGCTGCAGTCATCTTGTAGTTTTCTGTAAGCACTATCTCTCAGAGTTGACAGAAGGTAACTCTTGTGTGCTTAAAGACTTGTAATTGTTTAGTTTATCCTGGTTCTAAAAGGTGACGGAGACAGAATTTCTCCTTACCATATCAATACAATATCATGATGATCAAGCAGACAAGTGATGAGAATAAAGAAAATTATCAATTAGGGGATCATTTTTTGAAC